TTTTTTAAAACTTTATATACCAATAACTTAACCAAAACTTGATCAAATTTAATAAAATTTTTTTTAAACAAATTCTACAAGTTTGTAGAATTTATTTAAAAAAATTTTTATTAAATTGATTAAGTTTTTGTTGAGTTATTGTTGTTTAAAGTCTAAAAAAAATTTACTTAGAAAAAATTTGCTTGATTTTTATTGACTTAACTCCAAATACTAAATAATAATAAATACTGCTAATTAATAATTAATTAGCAGTTAATTGTTTTATAATTTATTTATAAATACTTATAATTAAAATACTGAATATATACTAATTTTATTTTTTAACCAATATAAGCTATAAAATCCAAATACTAATAATATAATATATTATAAAATTCATATATTTTTATTTATTAATATTGTTTTAAATTAGCTTTAAATTATAATTTTAGATCTAGAAAGCTTGTATAATAAAAATTATTTATATAAACCAACATCCTAATACTAAAAATTATAAGAAATTCCAAATCCACTTAAATTCTGTTCTTACATATATATATTTGTTTGCATTTAATAAAGTCTAACTGTAATATTAAATCAGGCCAAATTATCAGCAAATATAACCAGAGTTATTGAAGATGGGTTTCTCAATTTATTAGATAATGAAGATCCGCTAACATAATTTCTCTGAAAATTTTAATAGATTGATCACTTTTACTAAAACGCACCTATGGTGTTTTACCATCTATGTTGTATTATTTCAAAAACTGGCTAATTATTCGATGTGAAGTGTTCTAAGTAAAAATGTTCTACGCCCTCAAAAACCCTTCCCAAACCCTAATCCTAACCTTAATATTAACTTTAACGTGAAAAAATTGATGTTAAAAATTTTATATACAAAATTTATAAAAACAGAGAAAATTTTAAAAAAAACATATAATAGGTGCAAAACCACCATAGGTGCGTTTTATAATAATTGTAAATTGATAATTTGAGTGCTGCCAAGGGAAAACCTGTAAGCCAATTTTGGGGCATCAATAAGACGAGTTTACTCCTGGGAAAATTGTGATATGGCGTATTAAATCATTGTATACAATCAGTGTCATTAAAATTTTTATTAACCTAAGTCTGTTAAATGGCGACAAGTGCACATGATATGGAACACTGATTGTATACAATGATTTAATACGTCATATCACAATTTTCCCAGGGGTAAACTCGCCTCAACTTGGCAGCACTCATTTATAAAATTTAAAAAAAAAAATAAAATGTATTATAATTTGCAAATAATATGGTGTAACAAGAACATAGTTTATTTAATAGGACGTAGTTTATTTAATAAGACATAGTTTATTTATCTTAATTAAAAAAGCTTTTTACATTGATGTTCCATTGATTATTAAAATTATCTTATCGAATGTTTTATCTCGCGCGAGGTTGATGTCATCTTGTGCAAAGTCCGCGAAATCGAGCGTCATCTTTCCATATTACAAACACTGTATCATATTCTCAACAGGAGGAAACGTACCCGATCCAAAGTGAATCCCACACATGGTGTGATCAATTGTGATAAATTAAAACTGAAATTATTTATATTAGTTTTAATTTATCACACCATGTGTGGGATTCACTTTGGATCGGGTACGTTTCCTTCTGTTCATTTTCTCTGATCGATACTTACGTATATCGTGTGAAAAATTTTTGGCTTTGCATAATATCAGGTCAAATTAGCCTTTTTGTTACCCAAATACTTTGTGAAATGACGATAAGCATTTCATAAGCTTATTGCATGATTACTTAAATTCAATTAAAAAAAAATCATCTACTATCTTAGCGAAACAAAAGGCAGCAAACATCCTTGTAAAAATCATAAATATGAAACCTTCAAAGAAAAAAAATACATACATCCGAAACGGAATTATTTATCGTGGTGATGAAGCCATTTATGCCAAAGAAGTATCAAAAGCTGAGAAGCAAGTAAATGATTTAAAAGTTGTACTTGAAAATATTGCAGCCGATTCTAATAGTCATAGTGATCCTAATGGCCCTAATGGTTCTAATCACGATAATAATAAGGATAATAAAGATGATAATAATGACGTTAGTGATTTAGACATACCAACATTTTCAGCTTGCAACGGTGAAAAGGATGGTCTTGAGAACCTTACGGATGGAGGCTGCGATCATAAAACTATAGGCAAAAAATCAATTTTATCAGAAAAAAGTAAAAACTTAATTAAAGGAAACGAAATTCATGCCCAAGTTGCTAATCTGACTATTTGCGGAAATGTACTAGGAAACAAGAAAAAAGTGAATATTAGTCACGATAATTTTACTAAGGTTAATGGTGAAGTACAAAAAGTCGAAATGACGGCTTTTGATTTAGATAACAGTAGAAATGTTATCGGAACAAATAATGATGTGAAAATTAATGACCAAAATAAAAGTATTGTTAATTTCTCACATAGAAATATTCAAGCTAGTGTAGTAAATCAGGTTGCTCACGATAATGTAGTCGGTTCCTATAACAAGGTAGATAGTGAACGTATAAATATGAATTTGATCAACAGCAGAGTAGGAAATATAAATATGACAGGCGCTGATTTGAGTGCTTCCAAAAATGTGATTGGGGATTTCAACAGAGTATCCAATCTTGAAGCAAGTTTAACCGGGATTAACATAAAACGTGACATTGTCAATATTACGGGAGCTAGTGCAAGTAGTAAAGAGAATGTTATTGGGAATTTCAACAGAGTATCCAATCTTGAAGCAAGTTTAACCGGGATTAACATAGAACGTGACATTGTCAATATTACGGGAGCTAGTGCAAGTTGTAAAGAGAATGTTATTGGCAATGGGAATATAGTTACTTCTGCACGTGCAAAAGCAACACTTGTCAACTATCAAGAGAATATCACCAATATACCTGTAGAGGGTCCTGATGTTTCCATGAAGAAAAACAATATAGGAAGAAATCTCAAACTGGACGGTCAAGCAAAATTTACTGGAATCAATATTCAAAAAAGAAATGTCGATGTTAGAAAGAACAAGGATGATAAAATAAAGCTTAGTGCGGATATTA